TACCGCTCGACAGTGCCATCTGCTTTGTATTTGATCTTGTAAACCCATTTACAGCCTATGGGTCGTTTTCCAGGGGGTAGTGTCTCCAAAGTCCAAGTATTGTTCTTTTCAAGTGCATTGATCTCATCTTCCATTGCTTTTCTCCACTTAGGATTTTTAATGGCCTGTAAATAAGATCTTGGCTCATCTTCGGTGGAGATGGCCACTAGGAAGGAACGATGAGAAACACTAAATTTGTCATATGTGATAAAGTTTGAAATAGAATGCGGCGTACCTAATGTTTTTGAAGGTCGATTTTCTTCTACTTGTACACCATTAAGAATGTAATCAGTAAGATAATGTGGCACCTTTTTCTCACGTCGAGGTCTAGAATCTGTTCCTTGGTTAACAATTGGATTAGATGCATGGCTGGTATCATTCTGCACATCTGGAACATCGATTTCGGCATGCTGTTGCTGTTGGGTATAATCAGAGACATAGTCGTGTGCTATTTCTTCATTGAGCATGCTTGTTGCTGCTGGTACATTGTTGCTATTTTGTGCAGTGCCAATGGCATTATTATTGCTACTTGGTGTAGCAATGTTGCTCCCAATTGGTGCATGAATGACATCACTACTTGGAACCATTTCCAATGGGTCATCCACAATTTCCATTGGTAATTTAGAAATAGTAGTACCGCCTGATTTCTCTGAAATGGTAACCTGTAATGGAAAAACATCTTCATAGAAAATTATGTCACGGGAAACAAAAATTCTCTTAGCATCAAGATCGTAAACTCGATATCCTTTTTGACCTTGAGGATAACCAATAAATATACATTTAATAGATCGAGGAGAGAACTTACTTGTAAGTGGGGAATTATCCTTTGCATAACATAAACAACCAAAAACCTTGAGATGATTATATGAAGGGGCCTTACCAAAAAGGAGTTCAAATGGTGTTTTACCATTAAGCAGTGGTGTAGGAGTGTGGTTGATGAGATAGGCAGCTGTGAGGATGCATTCTCCCCAAAATGAAATCGGTAGGTTTGCTTGAAAGCGTAATGCTCGAGCCACATTTAAAATATGTCTATGTTTCCTTTCTACCACCCCATTTTGTTGTGGTGTGTACGCACATGAAGTTTGATGCAATATTCCTTGTTCACGAAAGAATGCCTGCATATGGTTAGAAAGAAATTCTTGTCCATTGTCGGACCTTATTTGTTTAACATGTTGCCCAAATTGTGTCCTGACCATATTGATAAACATGCTTAAAAATCGAAAAGTTTCAGATTTATACTTCATGAGAAATACCCAAGTAGCACGAGTATAATCATCAACTATAGTAAGGAAATAATGTGCCCTTGAATGAGAAGGGGTTTGATATCTTCCCCAAATGTCACAATGTATTAAGGAAAAATGTGACTCAACTCTTTTTTGACTAAGAGGAAAACTATTTCTTGTTTGTTTTGCTCTATGACAAGTATCACAACATTTAGGAAATGAATTAAGATCAAAAGAAATATTTTTAGACAATAAAGAAAGACGATCAAATGAGGCATGTCCTAACCGTTGATGCCAAAGTTCCATAGAAGATGATGAAATGGTAGTATTTTTAATTTTGGCTTCTCTTACTGGCTTGAAATAATAAAGCCCATTATTCATTTCACCAATTCTGATCAACTTCTTTGTGGTGATATCTTGTAAAACACAAAAAGTTGGCAAAAATATAACAGCATAATTTAAATCTTTTGTTAACTTACTCACAGATATCAAATTGCATGTAAACTCAGGTACATACAAAACATTATCAATGGTGACATTAAGGGCTAAAGATACCTGTCCAATGCCATGTATAGACACATGTTTCCCATTGGGAATTTTTGCATAATTATAAGTAGATAAAGGATGCAAT